CACCAGGCAGCTGCGCTCGTTCGTATTCAGCCCCAAGGCACTTCTAGGCCTACTTGCTGATTAGGGATCAGAGAGAGAGAGAAAGAGGACAGAGTGAAATGGTATAGAGCGGGGATGAGAGACAAAGAGAAAGAAAAAGGTCCTCTCTCATTTAGTAAAGAGTTTGTTAATGTCTATAATCCCATTAAGCAGGGGGAACAGCTTGACCCCTCACATAACATGCATTAATATGTATGGGCGAGTGTGTGGTTGGAGTGTATATTCTTTTTCTCTCATACAAACAACCCCAGACACTTGATACAGCGCATCCAGGAAAAGAAATTGATTGCCCTTATAAACAATTGATAAGGCCCTAATGTAACATTGCAAGCTGTTAAGGAGAATTGGAGCGGCGAGTCATGAAAATGACATGTAAATCAAATGAGCGTTGTATATTTTCAGGCACAATTTGCCAGCAATTATTGTGTTGACCTGGCTCCTCGGTTGACAAAAGAAACCTGTTCCCTCTGAGGAGCAGGAAATCAGCTTTTCAAGTGCTCTTGTGTTTGAAGAGTGGTGAGCAAGGCAAGGCGTGATTGCTGCACTCTGCAGAGAGGATCGCACATGGGGTGATTTCATACAAGGTGAGAGAAAGCAGTGAAGGCCAAAGCTAGTTGTTTTCTTTTCCTTCACAATATACATGCAAGCAGCACTTAACTCAATGTTATCTCAGCTAACTCACACTGAATCGATCCATGCTGAAAAAAATATGATAAAGAAGAAGATTCAGTATTAAAAAAAGAAAAGAAGACCCTCCAGCTTGTGGCCTCCTTCAACCTAAAGCCCCGATGGATGGATGGATGGATGGATGGATGGATGATATGTGCAAAATATAACCTGAATTCCAAAATGTTGGGTTGCTGTGTAAAATCTAAATAAAAAACAACATACAATAATTTGTGAACCTCAAATGTTATTCACAACAGAATCGTATCACAATAGAAAAAGTATTAAATGAGAAAATGTACCATTCTAAGAAAGACATGAACTCATTTTGAATTTGGTAGTAACATGTCTCAAAAAAGTTGGGGCAAGGCTATGTTTACTACTGTGTAGCTGTGGTAAACATGGGCTTCTGTTAACAGCAGACTGTAAACATCTGGGAACTAAAAGGAGAGGAATGTTGTCCCATTCTGGTCTCATATAGGACTAGTAGTCATGAGTCTTCTTCATCATATTTTTATTTTATTCATACTATCATGATGCACTAAATGTTTTTAATCGATGAAAAGTCTGAACTGTCTGAAGGCCAATTCAGGACCTGGATTCCAGAATTGAGGGTGGGGGTGGGGGGCTTTTTAAGTGAGCACTAATAAAAAGCCAGATGGTTCCTTTCCTCTTTAGTCTGGAGGATGTGTCCATGTTTTCCAAAAAATAATTTAAATTTTGATTTGTCTGACCACAGAACACTTTTCCATTGCGCCTCAGTACATTTGAATGTCACTTGATCTGGAGAAAATGCCAGGATTGCAGGATCATGGTCACCCATGGCTTCTTCTTTGCTTGATAGATGGCAAGATGAACTGCATTCAATGACCTTGATTGGAGGAAGTGTTACTGAGCCCCATGCTGTGATTTCCATGCTTGTTCTTAATGCACTGATGCCTGACTGCCTGAAGAACATGAACATCTAATATTGATTTTTAGTCTTGTCCCTTTTATATTGAGGGACATTATTCAGAAATTCTCTAAAAATGTATACACTCAGTTTTTTGCAGACTTGTTATCCTCTGACCATCTTGACTTCTTAGAAATTCTGCCTCTTTGTGATGTTCGTTTTTGAGATGTCCAATTTTAAAAAACAGATATTACTGGTATTACTTGTGATTACTTACATGTGTTCCCACTTAACGTAAATAGTTGCAAAATGTTTCTTCAGTTTCTCCACTTAGTTTTCCAGCATTTTTTTCCTGCCACCTCCTGCTGCCATCCCAACTTTTTTGAGATCCGTTGCTTCCATCTAATTCAAACCATGCCAATGTTTTCCATGAAATCAAAAAAGTATATCAGTTTAAACATTTGGTGCGCTTTATGTGTTCTATTGTGAATAAAATGTGGAGTTATGAGATTTGAAAATCACTTAATTTTGTTTTTATTTACATTTTACATGTCATTCGAGGCTTTTTTGGAATTGGGTTTGTATTTACATATAAGCAGCAGGATAGCTAACATCTTATGCACTGTATAATGCACTGTATATTAGATGTGATATAACACAGGATTTGCCAATAAGGCTGCAAATCCAAACTGAATTGGCTGGTTAAAACTAATTAATTGACTGCATTATTTTTACACAACCAGAATCAAATGAAATGAAATGACATGAAATAATAAGCTTAAAAACATTAAGTAATGTTGAATCAAGAAAACATTAAATAATAATAAAGTTACTCTATTTGGATTGTGTTGAAAAAAATTGCTACAAATCTTATGAACAATTATTTCACATAATAAACAGACCTCTTATCACTCTTGGATAGATTAAGGTTCTGTTTAAGCACAAATTTTCTTTAACTAATTTGTTTTATAAGATAAGATTACATTGTTTGGAAACATGTTGTTTGTCTTCTTTTTTGAGGAAGACTAGTGATGGTATACCTGTTCTGAGTTTATGAGTAATGCAGTACAGAGTACCTTAAAGAAAAAACAGCTTTCCTTACATGCATATTTTAAACTTGCTCTAAAATTTTGCATAAACTACAGGAAGAACTTTTGCTGCCAGTGGGAAATCTCTGACATACTCACTAAATTGTCATATACATTATTGATGGGATACTTTAAGTGTTCCCAATAACTTAAAAGTGCACAGAGAGACACAAAGGCACCAACGTGATGACGTCATGTTGAGCACAGTATATACTGCAAAAGAGAGGAAGGAGTGTTTATGTTTTCATTTGAAAATGAATGTTAAATTCACCTCCACATTAAATACGAACAAATTACTTTAATTGCAGGTCATCATAAAAGCACCACTGCCTCAACAATACCTTCTGAGTGCAACTGAGCAATTTATTTAAATTAATAAGACCCTCCACAGCCACCATGCCCGTTTGGGCTCATAGAGCTGGGCCCAATGGGCTGAGGCTCGTCAACAAGCACGCCCTAAAACACATCCAGCCATCACAGGCACGATAAACTAGTCGCTTGAATCACTGGGCGTGATAATGGATGGAATTTTGTTTCAACAAATAAAGTTCAACTTATTATTTAATTAGGCTGAAAGTTAATCTTCACTCTTTATTATCTCTAATGCATATAGACCTGTATTATAGCATATTAATATATATTAACAACTCTCACTCTATCATGCTATCATGTAGTTACCTGTGGTCTTACATTTATTTTAGTTGAAGAGAAGCTTCATATGTGAATATAGTTATTTACACAGCATGTAAATAAAGTTGGAGCAACATCTACAAACTGACAGTCATTTGTTTATAACTGATTCATTTAAAAATATTTTATAGATGAATTATAAGTAATTACTCTGTGTTAGTCCTGCCACACACTGTCCAGGGTGTACACTGTATGACAGCAGGATTAGGCTCCAGCCCCATTCTGCAACCCTGAATTGGATACGCAGAATAACATGGGTGGATTTAATTTAGTAGTAACAGCTTTTTGGTTGCCATATTGTTGAAATTCCTTCTCTGTCATGACACTTTGCTCACTGTTTGTTATTGGGAAATAAACTTAACTTACTTAAGAAAAAAAAATATTATAATGTCTATGATTATATCTAGCTTATTAAAATTAATAACCATGGCTTGATGAATTGATTGCCTTTAATGTTTTCAGAACATTAGGTCTAGAAGCTGAAGCAGTCGCTGCTGACCGACATCGATGGAGATCACTAGCAGCCCGATGCGCCGCCCGGCGTAGGAGGAACTAAGTGCTAAGTAAGTAAGGTCTAGAGGTAACTGATGTTTGATAATGAAAATTTCTTACTAATATTTACTTAATGGCTTGGAGGAATCGTCAGTCTGAAGATTGATGATCATTTTTTACATGGAAGATAATTTGAAGATAGTTTTTACGACTTAGCAACCCAAAAAGTTGTTGTGATATTAATTTGGAGTGGATTTAAAAAACGTTCACTATGTGATCCATAGCACAGTGGGTAACAAATGACTGAATTTACTACTTAGAATGTAAATTTCCATTGTCTATGTAACCATTTTGCCTCACACATTAGAGTTTCGGTTATAAAAGACAAACTTCAGTCCATTTCTTCCTAGATTTCCTCAAGGTGCAATTAACAATGTCTCACTTGGCCACAATATTAAAGCCACATGTCTAATGCCATGAAGATGTCCTGTATGTTGACAAAAGAGTTTGGATCAGTTGGGGTATGGACACCAGATCCCATGGTTGTTCTGTTTGGCAACTGGATATTTAGATCCTTTACTTCTTGTTCATTGCGAGGAGAAGCCTCCATAGACTTGCAATCTTGGTAGTTTGTATGCAGGTCAGAACCTAGTGCTTTTTGCAGGGTCCTGCTAGGGGTAGGCACAGCCTTTGGGGAGTGCCATGTGTTGCTTGACCTGTGGCTGTGATTAGGTAATTGGTAACACTGATACTTTCCATAGCTCAGTCCCATGAATATTGTAGCTAAAGGAGTAATTCTCTTTACTCCATTTGTCCTTGGCTTTAATATTGTGGGGGTGATCAGTACTAAGTGTTACAGGGCAATGGAACTGGCAACAACTAAATGGGGTGTTGCACCGTTTTTATCAATTACTTCCGAACTGTGCTATTTATGGCACGCAGGCACCTCTCTTCTGAAAACAGCATATGATCTGAGGAGAAATTATAAATCTCATAATCTCACCAAAGGCAAATAAAAGCTGGATTTTCACAGTTTATGTTTTTAGAGAAACAAATTGACTGGTACATTAGCTGACCAATCGTATCTCAGCTTCGAATCAGTTTTTATCCAATCACAGAAGAGAGCGATAGTCTTGCCCCTCCCAAAAACTGGATGCTGAAAAAGAACGTCATCTACCTTTTTACGTTTAGCTTTAGCAAAAATTAGCTAGGTGTTCAATCATAGATAAATCCTGCCGAACCAAGCGTATTTTCTTTTGAACCGACAGCCTAAGTAAGAGCGATATATTTGGCGCTCCCTGGTATTACAGTGCCAAACATGTATGTAAAAGCCTTACGTCGATGCAGAGACATGTTGAAAGGAGAACTGGTCGTGTGAAACGCTGACTAGCTTACTCAAAGCTAACTGACGAACAGGGGCCGAGAAGCGAAAGTGGCTAATATTAAGGACTGCTAAGCCTATCACAACAACGCTGGGTGTCTTAGCATTTCTACCGTGATCACGAGAAGAGGGGCTGATAGAGGGAGACTGAGAGTGAGAGATTCCTTTCATACGCAGTAAGTAACACTTGGTACTCGGAATGAGCACCGAATCTACACTGGCTAGCGACCCGCTAACGTGTAACGTTAGGCAAACAGTTTGACAACTGTGAACTTCGCTAGCTGGTTAGCTAGTGAAGTTAGCTAACCAGAGTGGCCTCTGTTTTAGGTAACGAGAATCGAGAATTGGCTTGATTTTACTTCAGGATCTCAAAGTACCGTTATTTATATGTCTTTATTGGGACAGGGAGTACGATATTGTCGTTGACGCCGGTGTAGCCACACTTACTAACACGCCCGAGCTCCATTCAGGTGATTTTCACATTAATTGGAGCGTTTCACGCACTTGTCAATATTCAAATGGGTATCAGCATCGCTCTGCTGGCGGATTAATGATTATCATTCCAACGTTTGGGTCTATCCATGTGATCCGAGAAGGTTTGGTTTGTCTTTATTTGCTTGTGGCATGTGTCGACAGTTTTTCTCCACTAAAATTATTTTTAATCTGATTCATGAATATTTGCAACAGGTGCGACTTACGTGGAACTAGTTTTAATGTGTAGCTTATTCTGGTTACTGCTTAGCATAAAGCTAGCTTTTGTTTTAAACGTCAACATGTTGTTTACTAACAATGTACGTAGTAGAGTCTAGGTTTATTTAAAGCTTCTATTCCCATTTGCTCCCATGAAGCTCCAGTACAGGGATTAACTTGTTTTATTGCCTTGTTGTGGGTACTTTTATTGGGTTGTTGGTGTGTGTGGCAGTGTGTTTGTGTGACGGTGTATTCCAGAAATGGCAGCAGCATCAGTGGCATGTTTGTGTTGGCACCTTGATGTGAAATCCTGCAATAGCCATGCTCTTTTAGCCTATGACTGCACTGGGTGCATGGGCTTGTCCAAAGGCCTTTATCTATACCCATGTGGTTACGTTAGTGTGAACTGAAAGGGTTCACACGCAGATGCATGCTCAGATGTAGTGGCAAGCCTTGAATAACTGAGAGATTAATTTGTGTTTCTGCTTATGTCTCAGAACAGGGTGATAGTATTGGTTAAGATTCTTGAATCAGCTTGTGGGGTTATGTAAATGCTGTGCACGTGTTTTTATAATGTATCCCAAAGGAACTGAAAGTGGTTTTAGTGCATGCTTAAGTACTCCTATGTTTAAAGTCCCTCATCATTTTGCCACTTCTGAGAGTTGAGAAATGATGAGAAAACAGAGGTACATGTACACAGTGCAATGCAAAAGTATTTGCTCCCTGTCTGATTTCTTAATTTTTTTAACCCATTTTTCACATTTACATGTTTCAGATCATGAGACAAATTTTAATATTAGACAAAGCTAACCTGAGGAAATATATAATGTTGAATCAAGAAACCACTTAAATAGAACCTGTCTGACAAAGTGAAGTAGGCTAAAAGAGCTCAAAAGGCAACACATCATGGTACGATCTAAAGAAACTCAAGAACAGCAGAAAAACAAAGTCACTGGCATCTGTCAGTCTGGAAAGTGCTTCGAAGCCCTTTCTAAAACTTTGGGAACCTAGCAGATGTTCCCAAACATCTGCTAGGTGTTTGGGAACACCTAGCAGATGTTCCCAAACATCTGCTAGGTGTTTGGGAACACCTAGCAGATGTGTTCACAAATGGAGAAAACTTTAAACAGTGGTGAAGATTCTCAGGGGCTTTCGACCAAAATTACTCCAAGTGCACATCAGTTACTCATCAAGGAGGTCACAAAATAACCCAGAACAGAATTGCAGCACACTCTGTAAAGTCAGAGATCATGATTCAACAATAAGCAAGCGACTTCTCTGGTGGTTTGTTGCTTCAGGATTTGGACAATGATCCAAAACACACCAGCAAGTCCACCTCTGAACGTCTCAAAAAAACCAAAGAGAAAATATAGGTTTTGATGTCGCCTAGCCAAAGCCCAGACTTGAATCCCTCTGGTGTCGCTGAATTAAAACAATTCTGCAAAGAAGAGTGGGACAAAATTCCTCCACAGAAAAAGCCTCATTGCCAGTTATTGCTGCCAATGCTGGCACAACCAGCTAATAGGTTTAGGGGGCAATTACTTTCACACATAGGGTCAGGTAGGTCTCAGTATTTTTTTTTTCCTTAATAAATTGAATCATCATTGTATTTAACCAGGTTATCTTTGTCTAATATTATAAGTTTGATGATCTGAAATGTGTTACAAAAATGGAAGAAAAAAAAATCAGGAAAGGGGGGGGGGCACTTTTTCACAGCACAGTATATTGCAGAGAAAGCACCTGCAGTCCAGTATGACATGACACGTGTACTTTCAATCTCTTTGGTCTGGACAGACATCCCCATCATCTGTTCAAAGGACACTTGTTCCAGGAAATTGACAACTTCAAAGATGAGTCAGCAAAGAGAGGGGGGATCTGTTTGTTTCACTTGTCAAATTTGTTTAAAAAAAAAAAGAGAAAAAAATCAGAAACTTTTTTGAGGTAAAGTTGTTTTAATCTTTTTAATCATAACTGAGAACAGTGTGTTATACCAGCTGTTCACTGCCTTCTTTATAAAATCATCAAACGTGGATGTGGCTAATGGGTACTAGCAAAAAGATGATTCATGGCTAAAAGTCAATATAAGCACATTAGTAGAAACTGAGCATTTACATGCCTGTATGTTGTGGATTTTCTCTTCAGAGATGGACTCAATTGTAGAGTTAAGCTATAACAGTCACAGCTCAGTTTGTTTTGGGTTTTGTTTTTTTTTTTATAAATATTGACTAGCTGCATGTGTTTGTTTTTTTTTGTTTTTTTTAATAATTTGTTTTTGGTATTGTGATCTAAGGTGGTCATAGCTTTCTTAGTTAAACTATGATGCCTTAAGCTTCAACTATTTGCCATTGCCATCTTGATATTTTGGTAAATCTGACAGTGACAGACATTTAACAACTTATCAGTCACAAGTTGTTGGCATATGTCGAATAATCGTCCTTTCCAAACATGAGCATAATTTGCAAAAGTTCAATTCATGATGCCCTGGAACTACTGTCAGTCTTCAGAATGGATTTTACTTAGTTCATACAACAGCAGAGCTGTTGGGCTCTGCTATGGGGTTATAGCAAATCTCTCCAGGTAGAGGATAGGAATATAAATCTGAACACAAATAAGATTTAAAAAGAAAAGTGAATACTTTGGGAAAGAAATATGACCAATGGTTACTTTTGAGGTGGTAATGCAGCCATGTCAGTTCATAAGAATAAATCAACAGCACTAAGGTGTTTCCTTTATTGAGTTAGCTTTGAAGTTGATGACTTCCATGCTTCCTTTAAATATGTTGCATTACAGTATAGTTGTTGGGTTAACTTTTTGTTTCCTAACTCCACTACTTTAGTTGTGTCCAACTAAAGAAAGGGTGCAGCAGTGGTATATTGTCATGGGCTAATATCCCATTCAGGCTTTTACTTTTTACCTTAATTTCCCCTTAATCAGCTCCTCAGCATGGTACAGCACCTCTACAGCAAGCTACACTGCTACCATGCTGCATTTCCTATCAGTCTAATATTATCATCATGTCTTTTTCCCCACACAAAACAACAGTACAGTAGTTTAGTAAGGTGATGCTGACTTCTAAGGGTAGATTGGCCATTATATCACACACTGTACCTTTCATGTCATCGAGTCAGGAGAGAGAGCTGTAAGACATTAGTAATAGTTCACTGTGTTAAGCCTGTGGTCTGCATTTGACGAGCTAATCTCACCCTGCGTGGATCCTATCAGCAGCTGACTGTTAAATTGAGTTAACTTGTTAAAGCTGTCCTGAAGCTGAGAGTGGTGGTTTTTCTGGGGCGCCTCAAACAGAAACCAGTGGGGAAAAACATTTTGGCCTAGTAAATCATAGCAAATCCCGCCTCTGCTTTTTTGTCACCTTCATAGACTACATGAATGTTCAGACATACATACATGTGGTAGTTCATGTGCAGTCACGTCTGGCCACTACCACTGTTGCTATGACAACCACTCAGCTGCCACTCCAAGCTGGGTAGCCATGGAGACATCAGACTTTGGGTGACATCAGTCTGTGGTGTACAAATTACCTATGCTGGTATTTATTTTTAATGAACACCAGTGGCCTGGGGAATTGGCAACTGCCAAAGATTTAGGCTTTTAACCAAACGGCAATTATCAGGACTGTAATAAAATATTTTTAATGAATTAAAAAAAATGTTTTAAGTGGTTCAAACTTGAATGTGTATCATATGCCAAAAAAAGTCAATTTTTTGGCATATGATACACATTCAAGTTTGAATACAGACTCTGCTTTACCTGTGTAAGCAGTCAAATGTTAAAGGCCCACTTTGAGCCAGGTATGGTACACGTGATGTGTATGTAGTTGCAGCATAGGTGAGAGCAAATAATGTTATTTGGTGATTGTGGAAATTGCTTTGATATCTGCTCAGTGTTGTGTGTGACCGCATTTGTCGTCAAGGTAATAATTCAAGTGTTCTGGACTACTGATGCTTTTCCTCCCTTTGATATGTGATCAGTGACCAAGTGTGTTTGTCTGTCATGCACCTGTTGAATATCATCTAAATTTTGGAAGTCACATCAAACGCTTTGATAACAAACCATTGGCAAGGTAAAGAGGGAGAAACTTGGAGAAGCATTATTTATATCTTAAAGATCAGAAGATTAAAAAAAAGAATTATTTTAAAAAAGGATTCTTTATAAAAATTAAAAACAGATTAGACTCCTTTCAATCATTATAGAAAGCAGAAGTTTGAAGGAAAAGTATTTTCTTAATTTCAAAAGTTTATCCCCTGGTTACATCATACATAATTTAAAAAACCCAAACCCTTGATCATTACAAAGAAGGGATCTTGTGGTTGTTTTACTCTGGGGTGTACTTTGCTGGCTTCTTATGGGTATGCTTTAGGGTTGGTCGATTGGACGAATATATCGACTATTGACAACAGGCTGAGCCTATCATTGATAGTTTTTACAAGGGCCATTTATTTATTTATTTATTTATTTACCCATGAGTAAGTTTGCTAATAATGGTGGAGCCTAATAGAAGCAGTCAACAAAAAAAAAAAAAAAAAAATGATAGCGCTGTTTTAACAGCACTGTCTTTCATCTGCGAGCAAATGCACCCTCTTCAGAGTGTGCCCAAATGCTTGTTGATAAAGCTACAGAAGCTGGTGATAGCCTAGCATACTTAGCTGGATGGTGGACACGTACATGCTCATGCAAGTTAGTCGTGTTTGAGTACTTTGCTCACACTATATGTCTGCACAAGTGGTACACCGCTTTGATTACATCCTTATGTTTACCTCTTTCATCTGGTTTAAAGAAAGCCAAAGAAATCCCAAATTGGTGGCTTTATTTTATTTTATTTTTTTAGTGCTGTCAGCATTAACACGCTGTCATCACGACTAACGCGATTAACAATGAACCCATCTGGAGCGTAAACTGAGTCAAAATCCCTGAAATGTCTCTGTCAACACATTTCGGCAGTTTGTCCAAATTTTGTTCATTCTGCGCTCCAGATGGGTTGAGAGCGTTAAAATCGTGATGACCGTGTTTAACCCGCGTTAATGCTAACAGTATATATATATATTTTTAGTTAGTTCGTCTATGTTTGGACTTCTTCTGTATTGTAAACTCGCAAATCAGTCCGTGCATGATTACATTGCCCCACCCATGCGCGAATACATCACCCATCGGCGAAAATTTTGCAAACACTGCCATATATATCTTGCCAACTAATTTCACCTTGTATCAGCCAGCAGCCACTTGCAGTTGGTTGGGGAATATGTGTTTTTGAGATGTTACAGGCAAATTTCTACGACAGTAGGACTGGAGCTTTAGCTATAAAAATGAAATGAGATGCACCTGCCAGTGCACAGCTCAAACTGTTACTTGATTGTAGTGCTGTCACAATTGCTCAAAAATCACATTTGCTTATTATTCATTCATTAATTCCAAAACAATTCCCAAAGAACCAAACTATTTGACTGTGCGCTACTTTGACACACAGTAGGGCTGTTCAATTAATCAAATGTTAATTTCAAGTACAGTTTTGGCTTCCAGCAGTTAAACAGCATAATATAGATAAAGTGTGATGTGTGAGTGAGGTGCATGCTGTCAGCCTGGCAGTGTAGCGTGATATTAGTTGTCTTTGAAGCCTTTCTGTTCTTTTAGTTAGGTGGGGGAAAGGTGAGTACACAAGGCGGTCTAAATGCTTCATATGTAGATGAGGGTGACTCACTCACTGAGTCCCCTTCATCTATGTCTAGTTAGCATTCATACTTGTCATTTTGTTGATGAAATCTGTGTTTTTTAGATTTGACTTTAAATCATAAGTTAATAGCAAATAGCGGGCACTTATCTATTTTTATTTTTTGAGAGGAACCTTTTAGCTCTGTCCACATGTACATTAACAGACACCATCCTTTGAGTATGCCTGCAACTTACTTGTAAGTAGCACTTATTGATATTTTCAGATATAAGGTATGGGTTATTGTGCAATTTCCGTGGCTAAGATTCCATTAAGCAGTGTGACAATCAATAAGACTGTAAAAGTTAATGTTCTCTCATTGCATAACCAATAAACAGACTGGATAGAGAATTTCTCTCTGCTATCCAGCAGCGTAATGCTGCTGTGCATTTAGCTAATGCAGGTGCAGTTATTGATAGATAACGCATCCTCTTGAACACTCTGTGAAGTTTGTTAATGCTTTTTGAAGGCAGTTCTGGCTACCCAGAGAAGCTTTTAAACTTTCTTCTGTCTCTTTAAGGATAAATCTAAGTAGCTGCTATTTGTGGATGTGGTGTACAGTGATCACCAATAAGAAACAGTTGATATGTTCCTTAAGCCTTACATAGAAAGTATAAGAAACACAGGAAGAAAATTTCCAGCAACTCAAAAGTTAAATATTCTCCTTAAATATCTGTGGGGATATTTGTAGTCTTTGTGTTTTCAGAATATGCCAAAGCCATGTGAGATTTGAAGGCTTTTTATTTTTGCTAAATAACTTTTTTTCATATCACCCAGCACTAGTTAGAAGAGGAGATGATGGCTGTAAAGCAGTCAAAGATGGATAGATACCAAAGAAATGGTAACATTTCAAAATCATGAATATATTGCAAGAGAACACTATTTGTCCTCTCCTAGTTATATTATGCAAATCTTTATATATTCCTTCACGATTTCTACAACCTTTCCTAATATCATTAGTAATCATGAAGATTGAAACTTTAATATTGTCCAGTTAGTTTTTCTCAAAAATTAATGGTTGGTATGACTGGCTGTTATCCGTTAAGGTCTTTCTAATACAAATCTCTCATGGATGGTTTGGAATGAGTCCGTCTGTATTTATCATGTATTGAGTAGAGCAGGGCTATATGACCAAAAATAATTATCACGATATACATTTGAAAATTTGCGATAACGATATAAGACGATATAATTGACACTAGACAAAATACTTTACAACTCCACAACTTTATTAGTGCAAAAAAACCCAACAATGTATTTTCACTTAAACAAGCAGCTGTTTTTTATGTGCATTAAAGTTCTACAAAAATTTAACAGTGCAAATGCAAATTCCTTGCTGACAGTTTAACCAAAAGGCATTTCCAGTGGAAATTGGCCGACATATCCTCAGCATAACCATGTATAATATCCACAAAACTTAAAAAGAGGTTATACACACACAATACGGTAATATTATGTTGAAGCACAGTACGCATCACTGCGCGAGGCTCCTGCCTACGATAGCCATAATGCTCCGACAATCCATCAAGCGGTGCGGGTCCGTAGCTTAGCAAAGTCGTACTAAAACATTTGACAGATTTTCGAGCGCCGTGTACCACATAAAATCGTTTTGAAGTCAGTAAACAAAACCAGAATTCATACATAAGGCACACGGGATTATAAGGGGCACTGTCGATTTTCAGAAAAATCAAAGGATTGATTTTAAGTGTGCCGTATTTTCCAAAAAACACTGTAATAATGACAATCCACTAGCATGCTCTACCAAAAATAGTGCTTTGTTGTGTATCTGACGGACGAAAGCTAAACCAGTGCCACACCACTGAAGTTGCAGCATTTTTACAAACCAATTCTGGTTCATCCGTTTCATTCAACAAACTGCTTTCGCCCTTCTCATTCTCCGTCGCCGCCATGCTTTTCCCGCCATGTGCGTATGAAAACACAGGCACTGCGCATGCGTGTTTTACCCATATTCTATCGCGATATTTCATTTTCTTATCGTTGCCCAACATTATACCGGTATTACCGTGAACGGTATGATATGGCCCAGCCCTAGTATTGATGCTGATAAGGGTTGTGACCATACTGGAATATCAAAACGTGATACCGATACTCCGTACTGTTTTTGATACTCAAGGGAAAATGTAATTTCATTTGAGATGGTGATGGTAAAATGCAGGTAATATAACCAGGTACAACACAATAGCTCACACATCTAAATAATTTAGTTCTTGTAGAAGGAAAAACTGTATGCTAAAGCTAAAACATGGTATGATTTATGATCAAAAAAGTTGATTGCTGTAAAAGATATAACCACTCACTACCTGCATTTTAAAACTGACCACACAGCTGGCTAAAACAAAAAGGAAATGAACACATTTTAATAAATTGTTGTAAAAGTAGAAAAGTTACTTTATTAATGATAACAGGGGGCTAATGTGGCTGTTGGGTAATTGCTAATGGTTAAACAAACGGCTAATGTTAAAATCTGTGCCAGTCAGGTTAACGTTTTTAACTCTTTAATACTGTATTGGAACTTTACTGACCCCTTTAGATTCCTTCTAAAGTGTTGCTCAGTGTTATGAATATTATGTTAATGAGGTGAGGAGGTGCGTGTATGTCTGCATGCAGCAGTGCTGTGTGAAGGTATGCATCTGCTGGACGAGGCAACAAAGTCACTGTTTGTATCAGTGTTATTCCAAATGAGTATCTAATTCAATATTAATTTTAGTGTGAATTAATATCTGAGTATCAAGTTTTGTTTTTGTTTTGTTTTTTTGACTACCCAAATGCTGTTGTATATAAACTGAATGCAGTGTCAGCAAGCAACTTTCACACAATGCTACTATAAATCTAGTAGAGATTGAGAACACATTATGAATAGTGATAAGTTATGTGCTTTACTTGAAACAGCATTTTCTGCACTTTTCCTGAAATCTACCAAACACAGTCTTGGCAGTGAATAATTAAGACTCTGTATTGTAATCTACCAGCATAGTAGAAACATAATTAACTGTTCAGTACTGATTCATTGTCTGATTTTCTTTCTCTGTCCCTTGTTTCTTTTTGTTTTTCCTCTCCAACAGCTAGCAGTGGGTCTCTCAGGGCAGAGCCATGGGTGCGTTCCTGGACAAGCCCAAAACAGAGAAGTACAACTCACATGGCGAGGGCAATGGCCTGCGCTATGGGCTAAGCTCCATGCAGGGCTGGCGGGTGGAGATGGAGGATGCTCATACAGCTGTGTTGGGCCTTCCAGCCCTTGGTATGACTGACTGGTCCTTTTTTGCTGTGTACGATGGCCACGCAGGCTCTAAAGTTGCCAATTACTGCTCCAAGCATCTTCTTGAGCACATAATCACCGCTAGCTTAGGGGCTGGAAACACACAAGGCTCTCAGTCTGGATCAGACGGCTCCAACGCTTCAGTACCAGTTCCGCCTGCAGTGGAGGCTGTGAAAGCCGGCATCCGGACAGGCTTCCTGAAAATAGATGAGCACATGCGCAGCTTCTCCGACCTTCGAAATGGCATGGACCGCAGTGGCTCTACGGCAGTGGGAATTCTTCTGTCACCTGATAATTTCTTCTTCATTAACTGTGGGGATTCTCGAGCAGTTCTCTACCGCAATTCACAGGTGTGCTTCTCCACACTTGACCACAAGCCTTGCAACCCACGTGAGAGAGAGCGCATCCAGAATGCTGGCGGTTCAGTGATGATTCAAAGGGTTAATGGGTCACTGGCTGTATCAAGGGCCTTGGGGGACTATGATTACAAGTGTGTGGATGGTAAGGGTCCCACAGAGCAGCTGGTTAGTCCTGAACCAGAGGTGTTTGTGATGGTTCGGGCACCAGAACAGGATCAGTTTGTGATTTTAGCGTGTGATGGAATCTGGGACGTTATGTCCAATGAGGAGTTGTGCGAGTTTGTGAAATCGAGGCTTGAGATCTGTGATGATCTGGAGAAAGTCTGCAATGAAGTGGTGGATACCTGTCTGCACAAGGTATGTACTTATTTGTTTTGGAGTTTATCATTTGTATATTTTGCTGTGACATCCTCTGCTTTCTTTTGACCTATGGAGACGTACATGTGTAGAAAGTTTTGTCAGCAAGATGTCCATTTGAATTTCCTGCCAGAGAAGAACACTATATGATGAAGAAAGTTTTAGAGAATGTGTTTGTTTTTGTTGTGTTTTTTGTTGAAAAAGAGCTATTTGTAACTGCTTTAATGGCTCAGTAAACTTTCCCTTACTAAAAAAAGGAGACAGAGAAATTGTTTTGGCAGTCTTGAAAACAGGACAAAGTAAAAATGAAAAGAATGAAGTACAGAGCTTTGAAGTACAAAATGCTTGAAAGATGGCTTCAAGTCTTGCAGGTTACTCCTTAATCCTGACCAGCAGCTGTTATCTGCTTGAATTCAATAGATGATAGAGGGGGGAAATGCATTTTATTGCTTATTTACTGTATGTTTTTGATACAGTCATGTTCTACTTGGCTCTGAGTTACAGTGCAGGTTATTCAGTCACTTATTCCCTATGAAAAATGCAAGCTATACAACATCTTCTCTTAACCTGCTCTTTCTTCTCTTTCTTTATTCGTCTGTCCTTTGGTCCGTTTTAGGGGAGTCGGGATAACATGAGTGTTGTGATAGTGTGTTTGCCCAATGCTCCCAAAGTATCGGAGGAAGCTGTGAGGAAAGACACTGAGCTCAACAGTTACCTGGAGTCTCGAGTTGAAGGTGAGAGTGTCTGAATGGAGAAAAATGTTTTATTCAATGTATTTATTCAACGTATTAATTGTCTTTGTGTGAATGAACTCTACACATAAAATAGGGTATTGAGGGGAAGAAAATGGGCAGCTGGGGATTTATTGATAACCTTCATTTATGTTTTTTCCCCCCCCCCATATTTACACTCATCTTATTTCTACTGAAAATGTGCATCATATCTGTATATTCCCTCGATTGACCTTGCTACTTGCTATTGTCTAACCTCCAGCCAAATTTGCTCAGGCTCACAGCAGAAGAATGACACCATCATGACCTCCTTTTCCACTTCAGCGAGCATCTCCCCTCTTTATTCTCTCTCCGTTCCTCTCCTCCCTTGCTTCACTCAAACATTTACTGTCTTGTTGGAATGAATTTCCTTCTCCTTTCCTGTACTCTTTGCCCATTTCTTCTTTCTAATTGCAACCCATATTTTTTTTTTTTATGTCTCTGGGAGCACAAGACCCTTTGAATACAGAGCAGCCTTTCTGGTCAGCTCTCTTCGTTCGCGATGTGCTGTTTGAGATGCCGGTCACTTAAGAAATACATTTATTTATTTATTTTAGCTCTGAGGAATAACTTAAAATGAATCCTTAAAGTTTTTGTTTTTACCTGTCTGATACCAGTGTCATCTTGAAATAAAAAAATAAAAAAATAAGGCCTTAAAATCGAACCGTAAGACTCTGAAATTGAGATTAAAAGACAGGTAATTATTTTATGTGTTAAAGTAAGTTCATGTTGGCTGAAAAGCACTCTAAAATGGGTCAAAATCATTCCACTTTTGAAGGTACAGTTCAGAAGTTCAAACAGTGTTTGTGTAAAGCAGGCTAGATGCTTGGCTTAGGGTACTGTCTAATACTGGAAGACAGAGGAGAGAGGGAATAGAACAAAACAGAGAGGGAGGAATTCTCTGGCGGAACATTATCTTGGCCTTATGCCACTCCCAACTCAGTTGCAGGCCTCTTTCTGTCACCATCTTTCTCCCTCTCCTCGTCTCAGAAATACACTGGCTTCCACAAATTGACTTGTATGTTTTCCATCTTCACTTCCTTTCTCCTCATTTGTCAAATTTTGGTCTCTGTCCTTCTGCTGCTCTGCTCTCCCTCCTCTGTCTTTGCACAGATGTTCATGGCTATCATCAGCTCTTTTAATACCGACTTGTGTAACAACATGTCTGCTGCTGTTTTAGAGATGCTGTCTCGGCCAGGGGAGGAGGGGTTTCCGGATCTGGTAACGGTGATGAGAAACCTGTCCACTGACAGCGGCATGCCCCCTCTGCCACCAGGGGGTGGTCTTGCCAGCAAGTAAGCACCATTTGACATTTATTAAAATGTATGATTAAAATATGAAAGTGTTAAACATCTGTAATACTTCATTATGTGCTCAGACAGTGATAATTACAGAAATGTTACAATTTGATTTATTTTTAACAGCTACACCTTTACTCCACTTAGTCTTCCACTGTCTTGTAGCTTTGATTGATGGCTCCAACCAATACCTTATGAAATTTTTGGTTTCTGTGTTCCACTTGCAGACGCAGTGTTATTGAAGCAGTATACAACCGTCTGAACCCATACAGGGAGGAGGATGGAGTAAGTATCAGTATATAGAAACGTAGGTGCTTTGTCTTTGACCATTTAGACATAAAATACTAAAAATGTTGAGGGCACATGGCAAATTTGAGATTTCAACTGTCTTATGTCTCAAGTTTCTTTAATGTACGGTATGACTTTAAGTGCACTTAGTTGGCTGTAGTTGTACATTTAAATTAACAGTTGATCAGCTAATTATGTAGTCACAGAGTATGTGTGTACGCTCTGTGTAGCATATTCCCATGAAATACCAGTGGGAGATCTTCTTTTGTTAATCTTATGTTGATTCATCTCATGTGGTGGCCTAAGCTGGTGATTTATAAACAAAGTATAAAATTACTGACTTAAGATGTGGCTTTGAGCCCATCCCCTTTCAGTTATGTTAAATGCTGTTTTTCTCTACGCATGGTGCAAGATGATACAGCTATGTCAGGAAATGTTTGAGTGGAACTATGAAGTTGCAAGTGAAGACATTCATTTTCAGGTTATCTGCTTCAAATAGGCTCTTTTTAATGGTTTATTTTATTTGCCTCCACCGCTTGGAGCTTTCTTTATTCTAACAGGAAAGTGTATGAAGACACTTTAGTTAGGCTTTTAAGTGGAGTTATCTGACACTGGTATGAGAAGTTTTCCCATGTTTGAGCATGAGAATGTGATATGTACGCTTCTAAATTTACTTTGCTGCTGAATGGTAGATGTTGCAAATTTTTTAAATTTGCCAATAAGAACACAGGCATTCACGCTCTCATACTGACACCCATTCACATACTGAATGAGGTAGTAAATCTACAATAAAATAACAGCAGATAAAGGCAAATACTAACAGCAAATAGAAGAGAAGAACATCCACCATTTAAAGCGTTCAAGTTTAATGTTTAATAAAAGGGTTTCCCCTGTAAGCCTGGTTTTCAAATGTTGTAGTGGTTGTAAGTGACAGTGACAGGAGATACTGTGCAGTGACTTTGACAGTGCTGTTTAACTCATTACATTACCTTCTGCTTTTGCTACTGGCAGACGTTTTCCACTTTAGTCAGCATTTTAAAATTTGTGTCCTCATATTCGCCGATGACACATGTAGACACTGTTTTATACAGCATGTGAATAAAAGATGGAATCCAAAATTATGTCCCAAGGAAAGTAATGACTTATTTTTATTTGCCAGTAAAGACAGACACCCTTTGTTATTGTGGTATTTTTTTTCTTCTTCTTTTCTACAACCATAGACTGTATATGAAAGATGGCAATGGATATTTTAGTTTCAAACTTTGCATTTTAAATACTTCAGTGTAAGCATTTTGGCTACCACAACTTTGGTGTTGGAGGCAGAAGTGACCTTATTTGGACAATAAGGGTGTGTACTAAGCTAGCAACTGGCAAACTTAGTTGACAGTTTGTAGACTGCACTGGTGCAATACACACTCTACTGCTAATTAGTGCTAAATAGTAGACTAATAAAATACTAGGGTATGAGTAAACAACACTGAAGGACAAACACACGGGTTGTATTACACAAGCTGTGTTATTTGTCAGATAATAAAGGCACCAGCAGCACACACAGGCTGTTCAATTTATTGACTAAACTTAGTGACTGATTTAGATTCTGTTTGTGGAATTCTGACAGGGGATGGTAGCTAAGATGGCTATTTTCATACCCTAAATAAACTGAGGGGCTGTATGAAGCACCAGTGTAAGAAAAATAAAGATTGTTTTGAACTGTGAACCATGCAAAGCTGAAATGAACATAATGGGTCCAGTTCACTTGAGGTGGATTGCATAAATAAGCTTTTCACTAATGTTTATTGGAAAGTTTAAAAAATGTCCTGGTGTTCTTTTCTAACTATTGATGTAGCTTCATGTTCTTTGAGGTAATGGATAGTGTGTTATTGACTGAGGGGGCCAAGGCACTTGTTGAGCCAGGTTTTTAACCTGCATTTATATTTGCAGGTTACAACACATAAGCTCATTATAACCATAGAGTAGGAAAAACAATCAGTTTATATAAACAGTATTATTATTGTTGTCCTCTTTCAAATATAGGCCTGTTTCTCTATTTCTATTATTATTATTATTATTGAGGTAAACTGTTTGAGTGCTTATGAAATGTTTGCACTCCAACAAGTTTTGTCCAAGGGTTCCGTGTTTTCTACAGAGATGGAAAATACAGAATTTTAAATCTTTGATTTTGCAGCTGTTGTTACCTGCCTGCATGTTTCACACAAACATGTTCTTTGACAATCACGACATGAAAAAAGGGGATACATAAAGAAGTTAACTGCACAATTAACTGATTTCTTTTTCTTTTTTTGTGGACCCATTTATTTTATTTTATTTTAAAAAGAGAGAAATGTTTGATTGTTTTCACTATTTACTTGCCACTTAATTACTTTTGGTATAGTACGAATGGCCATATTGGGAGGGGGGGGGTCTGTTAAATTTATGAAAATATAGTTAAAAGTCCAAAATTTATGTCTTCCTTCACATTTATCATAGCCGTCCAGTAGGCCGGATTGGAGTCTGTCTGTGCAATTTTGGCCCCTGGGCCTTATGTTTGAGACCCCTGTTGCAGTAAATGGCTTACAGTATTGCATGTGTGAACTTGTAAATGTTTATAAAGGATTGACAAATTTTGTGTCTGTGAGAGAATCTCACACTGAGATTGAGGCCACTATTGTATTGTTTAGAATGATAAGCACTGCAGTGTCCTTAAAGAGCTCTACCTGCATATAAGGGGTCTTGTGTGGTGTGGGTGTGTGTGTGTCCTGTTAGCTGGATGTGATATTTGCCTCATTGTGTTGTCTTGGATTTTCTGTAATGAGTTAGAGGTACTGTGATTGTTTGCTTTGTGTACACATAATCATGGAAAAGAAATGCACACATGAAACCACAGTGGGTAGGTTCTGTGTGTGACTGTACACTGTAACAAAAAGTTTTGAGTGCTACCACCTGCTAGGTGTTAGGAGAAAGAAACAAGGCTGCTTGTCATAACATTGTCAAATAGAGCCATCCTAGTTTAACCTCGGCAGGGTTCTTTGTCTACATTAAGTGGCTAAGCCGTCCTACACAGCTGCTAGAAAGAAGCATGTCATAGTAGCTCAATTAGTGCTGGTTGCACCCTTCATTTAAACATATTTTGCACATGGTGTGTAGTAAGGTACGCACCTGTAGTCACATACACATTGACAAGGGATGTATCTATTGTCTAACTGTGTGTTCACCCTCTGATTAACGCAGCCCTCCTGTTTCATTTGGTAAGTGATCACATATATAACTGTTACACCCCCACCTCCCCCTTTTCCAACCCCTCATCTACACACATGCATACAACCACACATGCACACATGTGTACAAACACACATTCTTACAGGCATGTAAGTGGTGACCTGCTACACAAATCCTCCCTGTCACACCTTCATCTGTCTCTACTCCCTGCTCTGATCTGCTGTCCTGCATGTGGAGCTCCATTTAAGAGTTTAAGGCGTGTTCATGTGGACGTCTGCAGACATGATTGTCGAGGTCTGATGAGGATGAATGATAAAGGTGTTTCTAGTCCTGTCCGTCCCCCCCTCTCACGTCACAGGCATACAAACACGCATGCACTGTTCCTACACGCATGCATCGCTGTCTCACTCAGTCTTTCAGCAGCTGCACGCAACTATACAACAGTCTGTGTTTCTGTGTCCCTCCTCGAAATAAGACGGAAGGCCTTGGAGTTGTTTTGTTGGAATATGTTAAAGAAAGACTCCGGAGACTGAGGTTGAAAACGTTTACTGCCTCACGCTGCTGTTGTAACAGCATTGTAAATATACTGTGTTGTTTCTTTGTTGAGTTGTGTTGGTCATAAGGAAAACTGACCTTCAAGTCTGGGTTTGGGGGAATAAATCCTTGAGTTTTACTTTTAAAATGTTTTGTTTAGGTTTTTTTTCTTTCTTTTTTTTTCTTTTTATAAAAAGTCTCATTTTTTTTTCTCCCCACCCTTCTCTCCTTCCTTTGTTTCCTGGCTTTTCTCTTATTTCTTCTTCCTCTATTTTACTCTCCTTTGCTTCCCTGTTTTCTCCTCTCCCTCTTTTCCTTTTGCAGAGTGGAGCGGAATTGGAGTACCACTGGTAGCTGTCCAGCACAACTGCCTGATCGAAAATACAGGACCACTATTCCACATGAGATTACATTCATTGTCACCTTTTAATTTTTTCTGTAATTCATTCCCCCCCCCACACTGAGAATAACTGAAGCTGAAATCTTGGTTTTAAAAACACCTAATGTGGAGGACTGCAAAACTGTTTTTGTTCCTTTTTTTAATTTTTTTTTTATTTTAAATAGACAAACTATGGGGGGGGGCACTGCGTTCATGTTCCGACTCCAGAACTACATCTACAATATAAACACAGCGAGGAGGAGAGGCCAACAAGCACAGTTTCTCTTGCCCCTTGTTTTCTTTTTCTTTTTTTTTTGTGGATTTGCAGAGACAGAGGTCACAGGTCTGAATCTTTTAGGGTTCTGTGGTGCCTTGCTTGGACCAGAGAGAGAGAGGGAGGGAGAGAAAGGAGGACCTCATAACTCGCCAGCCAGCCACGACCAAAACCAACCACTTGTGGATTCATTGTAAACACTGAGAAGGCTTAAAGTGGTTTGTGGCATTATTTGTTTGGAAGTGTGAACTTTTTCTTGCGCCTGACGGGGAGTTGATCGACCACACAAGCCTGCAACTCAACTACACACCTTAAGCTATACTGTCCAGTTCAGGATCTGGGCGTTACTGGTACACAAACAGGAGCCAACTCTTCACTTATTAATGGACATGGCTCACTGGAGATCATCTTACAGAACTCACAGAAATGTAATAAAAATAACTAAATGAATCACTATCCAAAGACCTTGAGGTTAAACCCTCAAATTCAGGGTCTGAAAGCCTGAGAATCCACACCTGACGATAAGGGGAGCACTTATGTGAGAGACTTTCTGGCACCAAATCCCAGTTTGACTCCCGGATATTATGTCCAGACTTAAATGGGACGTGGACTGGTTTGCCCAGCTGCAACTACATTAAACTTGAGCGTGATAGCGACTCTCTTGCATGTCTGCTTACTTTCTGTCTGCTCATCTCTTTCAGGATATTGTCACTTGATTTGTCACTCTTCCCTTCTGTCTGCCTTATTTTTTAATTTTTTGTTGTTTTAACTTCAGTTTCTCTGCTGCTTCATGAGGCAGAAGAGACTCAGCTCTCATTTTGCATTTGCAGACAATGCCAGAATCATAAGCTTTTGAGCCTGCTGTTGTTGAAGATATTATAGAAAGATAGAAACTGTATATGAAATTCATAAATATAAAAAAATATATATAGGGAGATATCTATATAGACAGAAATATTTTGATTTGTTTGTTGTCCCTTAAATTCCCAGCCATGGTATTCATTGCGGCCTAATCTGGAAAAAAAAAAGAAGGGGGGGGAGAAACACCCCCACCCAATAGCCCAACCCATGATGCTGCACGCACCGTTCCCACACAGCAGCGTTCCAAAGACGGGGTTTGGGGTAAAGGAATTCCAACCGCCCCCTCATCCTTAACACATGCGCACACACAATCCTGCTCATGCTACAGCTTGCCTTTTTCTATCTCTCTGATATCCTGTGTGTGTGTGTGTGTGTGTGTGTATTAAAAAAAAGAAGAAAAAACACAAATACCTTTTTTTGGAGTTTAGATTGTAAACATTTATTTACTTAAAAATATGCTTCTTTTTTTTTTGGTATACTTTTTTTTTTAAATTACTATTGCTGTGGTCGTGTTACAAATGGATAAAGAAAACAACACGAGGAACCTGAAACATACCTTTTACAACATATTGGGAGACTTTGGTTTCGGCTATTCACTGTATGAAGTTGAAGGAGGGACACTAGGCTGAAGAGAAGGGGTTCTACACTGAGAGTTAAATTCGCAGTCACTGAATTGGTGTTCTTTTTCTTTTTTCCCCTCTTTCCCCACAACCACCTTCATTGACTTTACCTTGAAGGCACAGGGCAGTTGCTGATTTAGGTTGGGTTTGAGTTTACCAGGAGTCTTTTGTGTTAACCTAAGCACTAAAAAGATTGATGGAAGCTTTAGAGATGGATATTTGTCAGGAAAAAACCAAGTCTTTTACAGTGTGCACACACATGCATTGTCTATGTGTGTGTAGTATTTAGATGGGGTTAAAATATGCTATAAATACAAACCTGTAACATACAGGTATATATATTCAATCATTTAATGGCAAATGTAATGTGCTTTCTGAAGTGGCAGTATTGGAAGAGAATAGACCTAACAGAGATTGCTGGCTGGTTAATGTTATTGTGGTACACTTGCTCTTGGTGCCATATGACAAATAGGTACTTGAATGTGTAGTTATTTTGCAGTTACAGTTGTTTTAATGCAATGGTATAACTTTTCTTTGTGGTGGAGGGAGTGGGAGGGGTGGTATCTCCTATTGGTGCATGTTTTGTGATTGAGGAAGGAGTGTAATTTGCGTGTGATATGCACTGGGTGGGCGGGTGGGTGATAATGTGGACAATGTTCAGTATGGTGGAACACAATGTTGGAGAGGAAAGGCAGTGATAGAGGAACAACCTGTAGATGAACTGGAGCACAAATGAGAATATTAATTCACTTTTAGGTACTTAACGTACAAATTAGATTTCCCTTACTTTAACCCCCCCAAACCGCATGTTTCCCATCATTCCCATTGTGAATGTTGTCATATCTCAGATTCGCATACTTTTTAACATTGTGCAAGCTTTTACCACACTGAACATGGTCTTCAGTTAAGGTTTTTGTTTAAGCTATATCAGACACTGGGCTTGGAGAGAATTTAAGGGAGGGAAGGACAGAGAAACATTTATTTTTCTGAATGTAATTCTTCATTAGTCACACTGATTCCACTGCATGGACGGAATACAAGCAGCACTGCAGGTTCACATTCTCTCCTCATCGGTCATTTAATGGCAGAACAAGCTACCTTGGCTTCCTTTGTTTTAAAAAAAACAACAAAATAAAATATATACTTGATCATTATTCTGATTGTGGAATATAATGTCAGAACTTATGTGGGAAGACATAAGATAAAGGAGTTTTTGAAAGTTTGGCAATGCCTGGATAATTTGACTCTGACTTGTTGCTATGATTTAACGTTCTGTTGAGTAAAGAGAATTTTACAAGCATTTGATCTCCTGAACCTGTCAGTTATTTTTGGGCCGGGTCGAAGGTTTGCATTCCCTGTGGGCTTTTTAGCATAGACATGTGTTTCTGGTCACTCTTTATATACAAGTAGAAGTTCTGTACAAGAATAAGTTAACATATAGGTCAGAAAAGAGAGCAGTAACTGTAACATTAAGATTGAAAGACTGACACAGGCACACAAATGTGTCAAGGGTTCTTTTTTTGTAATTTATCATAAGTCACAAGATGGTAAATCAGTGGCAAGAATAATACGAGATTGATTCCTAGAAATCTGTGATACTGTAAAGTGCAAATTAAAAAGGAATTCTATCATTTGTAAATCTTAAACCCATGTATTTTCTTCACAAGGGAAAATAGAAAACAAATGCTTAAAGTGAAAAAATGTAGCATTAAAAAAAGTCCCTGAAATGTTTAGATATTTTTAGCATCCCTTCTTCTCTTGACAACAGTTCATTAACTTGTAGGAACTGAGACTAGTTCCAAAGGTTTTCAGTTTGATCTTTAATCTCAGGGGAGATTTGGTGACCTCTCAGGGGATAGAGGTCACCAAAAACACACTGCTAGTACAGTTAAAGCATACCTGGGTAAGGAAAATAATGTAACACTATCAGTCATGGATTGGCCTCACCAGAGACTGAACCTCAACATTACTGAAACAATGTGGGATCATCTTGAAAAGGAACACTACAAAAGGCAGCCAACATCCAAAGAAGAGCTTTGAAACGTTCTTTAAGAAGCCTGGTCAACCATTCCTAAAGACTTCTTAAAAAATTACAAAAATGCTTACCTACGAGAGGCTGTGTTAAAAATAAATAAATAAAGGTGATCACACCAAATATACACTTTAAGATTTGTGAGAACAAAGTCAGATGGGCCGGATTGGAGACTGTGTCTGTCCAATTTTAGCCCCAGAACTTTAAGTTGGACACCCTTGATTTAGGTTGTATTTTATGTATATTTTTTCAGTTTAGGATCTGTGAGCTGTGAAAGGAAATGTTAATCAACACGTTGTGATGCGTTTTCTAAAAATTAAAGAAATGGAGTAGCTCTTGGGGTTTTGAAATATCTTCTGTATTTTAATGTTGGTGTTAAAGTTCACAAATCCCAAAATAGGAAACACATTTAGTTCAGGTGCATCTTTATCGCCTACAATATTAAAAGGCATCTTGCACCTTGGTGCTTTTGTTTGGTTTGGAAGTAACTGATGTCTCAGTCGTAGTAATGCTGTGTACTGAAAAAAACGCTAATCTGTAACCAGTCCCATCAACGCTCCACTTTCCCACATTCCACAGGTGTGTCAGAGACAGGCTCTACTCCGTGTACTATGACCCTCTGACTGTAGTCGTATATTTAATCTGCGCTCTCCGAGACACTCATTGTTCTTGAGGCGAGCTACACAACCCGACACGGTTCGTTTTAACAAAGAACATGAGTTATAGAAACGACTCCGACAGCGTGGAGCTCGGGGAGTGCACCAGAAACCCGGGTTATAAGGATGCAGACGGAGACGGGCCAGCAGCGAGGGACAACATCAGCGCCTCCGACAGCGAGGAGAAGCGGGACTCCATCGGCGTGAAGCGGCTCTCAGACGCGCGAGATGAGTACACGCAGATCAAACCGTACGCCGGGATGCCTAAGGAGTTGCTGGTGCTGTACTCCTCTAAGGCCCGGTACCGAGTGCCCCGAGAGATCCTGTTCTGGCTAACGGTGTGCTGCACCCTGGTTCTGGTGGCGGTCACAATCGCGGTGATCGCGCTTTCTCCGAAGTGCCTGAGCTGGTGGCAGGCCTCCCCGGTGTACCAGATTTACCCCCGGTCCTTCAAAGACTCCGACGGGGATGGGGTGGGAGACCTCAAAGGTAAGACACCCAAAGCACTGCTGCAAGCTCCGATAACGACTATTCGAAGATTTTCATTAAAACAGGTGTTTTTATGGACGACACCAATGACGCTCCGCTTCCAACAGTGGAAGGCACATGCTGTTACACTTTTGAGTCACTTAGAGCGTTTCCATATTATATTGTGCATTTCAAACTACTGCACTTTTAACACCTTTAGGCCATATTATAAATACTTCCCCATATACTCTTATAGATTTGAGTAGCCTACTATTGAAATCCTGCAAAATCGCTGTGATTTTTTTTTTTTGCCAGATAAAGCCTCCTATGAACTCTTCAGGCTTCATTTTAAAAAAAACAAAAAACAAAACAAAACAACGTAGCACCCTTTCTGAGATTGCCAAATTCTTGTAAATCCACAAAGTATACACCGTGTCCTGGTAGATTTTTCACTCTGTCAACCTAACAGCTGCTCTTATCAATTTCTTATATTTGGTCACTTATACAAGAGTAAATTATTAACTTTATTTAACCATTCGCAAAGTATACAAAGGGAATGGTAAAACTGCATCTCGTTGTTTTCAATGGCTCATTTATAATATTAAATATGCAGATGCATTTTAGAGGGAAATGACAGCTGCTCTCACTATATTGCATTATTTCCTATAAAAATTTACTAATGCAATGCAGAATTATCTTTTCCTATCCATAGTCCTTCAGTTTATTAGGAATCTGAATTTCAGCACAGAGTGGTTACAGTAGATCCTGTATCTCCTGTCTGACAGGCATCAGGGAGAAGCTGGACCACTTTGAATACCTTAACATCAAGTCAATTTGGATCAGCCCTTTCTACCGTTCTCCCATGAAAGACTTTGGGTATGATGTGGAGGACTTCCGTGATATTGATCCACTCTTTGGAACCATGAAGGACTTTGAGGACCTCCTGGCAGCAATGCACAGCAAAGGTGTGCACTTTGAACACCCTTGTTTATGTGAAAATGTGAAGCTAGAAGGTGGTTTTGGGGGGTAAGATTGTTTTTTATAGCAGGCTGCATGTCTGACACACAAATACCCATCTCCATTTCCACCAGGTTTGAAGCTGATCATGGATTTCATTCCAAATCATACCAGTGATCTACACCGCTGGTTCAACTTGAGCCGGACTAGAGATCCTCACTATGAGGATTATTACGTCTGGACTGACTGCAAACCAGACGGACCGAAGCCTAATAACTGGGTTGGTGCTTGTACTGTTATTTTCTACCTGGTCTATGATTTTGTCTTCTGCACATTTTCACTGAACCTTCACCAAGTTCATAGTACTAAAAAGGTGCAATGTACTAGAATTTAGATCAGATTTGTTTCCCATCTTGCACTCAGGTGAGTATCTTTGGGAACTCATCATGGACATACGATGAAGTTAGAGGGCAATGCTACCTCCACCAGTTTCTCAAGGAGCAACCAGACCTGAACTTCAGAAACCCAGATGTCATCAAAGAGATGATTGTAAGATTACTGGAACATGCAGTGACACACACACACAGACACACAAAAGCTCAGCTACTGACTCATTTCTTAAAGTACATTCAGTGATGCATGTGCTAAAATCATGTGTTTTCTTCATCTGTTCTGTCTTTCACTGTATTATATTTTTTGTGTCCTTTGTCCACATTTAACAGTAATGTGTGACACTGATTATACACTAACTTGTACCAGTTAACCTATGTTTTTAATTGTGGCTGCACACAGCGCAAAGTACAACAGAAGCAATAATGGGCTGTACATAAACATTTCTACTCAACTGTCTTTGCTATAGTTGAATGATTTTATCTTTCTGCAGCCTTTTCACACATAATGTAGATGCCAGTTTAATTGCTCTATATACATTCCCCCCCCCCTCAATTTTAGGATATAATTCATTTCTGGCTGGAGAAGGGAGTGGATGGCTTCAGGATGGATGCAGTGAAGCACATGCTGGAGGCTCCACACATGAGGGATGAACCACAGGTTGATCCAAACAAACCACCCGTGAGTGTTAAACTACACATCTAACCTCATTGGTTTTGTTAAGTTCAGCTAAAATCAATAGATGGGCACACTGAGGTCATACTGAGATAGACAGAAATAACAAAAACATATCTCCAACAACACTACACCACCACCACTAGCCTGAACCTTTGATAAAAGTCATGATAGATCCATGCTTTCATGTGAATTGTAACCTCAGTTTACAGGAGTGACAACCAGCGTGATCTTCTGCTGCTATAGCTCATCTGCTTCAGGGTTCAAGTTTTTCGGTATTCAGAGATGCTCTTATGCACACCTTATTTGTGATGATGTTTTTTGAGTCACTGTTGCATTCATATCCGCTCAAAGCAGTCGGGCCATTCTCCTCTGACATAAAAGCGCTAGGTTTTCAAGCATTTTTAAGTTGGGAGTTGTTATGATGCAAAATCAATTTTAAGATTATGCATTTGTTTTGGTAAAAGATTAACCACCAGGTTAATTTACCCCTAAGTCGGGGCTCATTTTGCCCAACAGCCACCACGTTGGAAAAAGAAAACCAGAGCCACGTTTTGGCTAAAGCAATCACACGTGTTTACTCACTGGCACTTCATCAACATGTGATATAACTTTATAACCTAAGATAAATAGCTTTTGATGTGAAACTGATAGATGATATCTGTTATGCCAATAAAAACTTCGACAGGCAAAAAGCATTTTATAGTGAAAAACTTTAAATGTGGTTCAGGGGGTTGTGAAGCTCATCTGTAACCGGAAGGTTGCCCTTTCAACCCCCCAAGCTCTCTCTGTCCTGGTCGTTGTGTCCTTGGGCAAGAAACTTCACCTACCGCCTACTGGTGTTGGCGCGATATGGCAGCCTCGCTTCTGTCAGTCTGCCCCAGGGCAGCTGTGGCTACAACTGTGGTTTGTGAATGTGAAAGTGAATGAATAGTGGAATTGTAAAGCGCTTTGGGTGCCTAGAAAAGCGCTATATAAATGCAATCATTATAAATATCTACTTCATCTATAAGGTTCTTTGTTCTGCAGTAAGTTGAAAAAGGAAAATGCTCAACAAATTTGGGGTTGAATGACAAGAACTGTGCATCGTTGCTCAGATAAAGGTGGTGGATGAACTTAACAGTTCTAAGAATCCAAGCTGTAACTTAGAGTTATGCAGGCATAATTAGATTTTATTGACTTATGTAATATCTGAAATGTCAGAGTCCAAAATTTAACGATCTGATCCATGAAAGCAGCTTTACTGAAGAAGCACTTTCCCTTGTTGCTAGTAGAAAAAATTAATCAAAAGCTGAGTGGGACTGTTCACACTGTGTATGATGTATCACTGATTATTTATCTCTAGCTGAAATGTCAGCTTCATAATCATGTGAAGAACACACTGTTTGTGAAACTCAAAGGGTTCGTGATACATGCTGAATTAAGGTCAAAGAGGCTGAAGATATTTCTCACAGCGGAAAGATTAGAAGCAAAGGAGCATATTTTGGTGGATTAACAAGTCATTGGAGTTTACTTACGACTGCAGGGTAAAACCATAACACTGGGACTCTTTTACTCACTGATGACTGAGAATTTATACCCACAGATTTGCAGTTAGGTTACATTTTTACAGTCTGATCATTTTCAACCACGAGGTAATCTTTAAACAAAACAACACTAACTCTTTGCCATCTTAGAAACAGTAATTCATTTTTACAAACCACTGGAACTACAATTCTGCAATTGAAAAAGATATGTAAAAGTTTATAAGTGTGTTAAGAATTGTATCACATCCTTAGTCGTGATTCAGCTAAATATGAATCAGAAACCATCTGTCTCTACATTATTGCTTTAGTGGTTTATGCTGTGGTTGCTGTTGGCTGAATGGTTCACTTGCCTGTTATTAGGCCAGTTTAATGGCTTGAGATTATCTTTCACAAAAAGACATGCACATTAGGTGTAATTTTAGAACTGTGACATCACTGTCTCTGTGCAGGTCTATGGCTCATTCCCTTAAATCTGTAAACCCAATGCTTTACACTCTGGTAACACCAATAGTTGTCCAGTGAGTCAGATTTCCTCAGCGCCTCCATAATTAGAACTTAACAAGATGTTTTTTCTTCCTTTGCCTTTCTCGCCCATTTTATTTGGACAGTTACAAAAATAACAAATCTGAAGAATTAGCAGAAACTTTCTTAATCCACAGTTTCTCACTCAGCAAACTTTGCTCAAAGAAAATACAAACTCTAACTCCAGCACACAGCCTGAAAGTAGCTAAGCTATACTAAAATTGCATAATCACTACATAACCTTATACATATTTCTATCCAGGAGTTGGTAACTACAGAGTGGGATCTTCATAGTGACTACACCACCAGTCAGGTGGGCTTGCATGACATACTGAGGGAGTTTAGAGCACAGATGGACATCTACAGTCAAGAGCCTGGCAGATACAGGTAGGAAAGTGATTAAGTGCATTCAATATTACTATGGCAGAAAACTACCTGTAATTATTATGTCACAATCATCCTTAATTTTAAAGACCTTTTGCTTATGCAATGCACTAATGTTCAAACCAAACGATTTCATTAAATCGTTTGGTTTGAAATGATTTAATGAAATCTAGAATAAGGAATTAAGCCCAGATTTTTAAAATGATTTCAAATAAGGACACACTGGTATTTTAGAGTAAGATAAACAAAATCAGCTAATGGACGATATCCTGACACAAGTCATCGTGGTTTCTGTGTCATATCACATGCTAAATAAATTCCTCCTGTGCTGCAGATTCATGGTAACAGAGTCATACGATTATGAAGAGGTGTACAAGACCATGATGTACTATGGCACCAGGCTGGAAAAGGAAGGTGACTTCCCCTTTAACTTTTACCTGCTGGATCTACCCCAAAACACCAGTGGAGTATGGGCTAAGCATCTGGTCCACCTCTGGATGGGCAACATGCCCAAAGGAAAATGGCCCAACTGGGTGGTGAGTTCTTAAACTCATATTTATTTCCTCGCTTTTTACAATTGTAAAAACCACAGGATCAGTAGCGTCATGTCCTGCATACTGTGGCACATAACATGCCGAAATCACGTGTCGGCAGCATTCATAAGAATGAACTGTCGAGTCATCCTTAGTAGACTGTCTGCCTGAGATCATGCTTCTCACACTTGTGTTGTCATATCTTTCACACCACAGGTCGGTTTATGTATTTGTTAATCATCAACCCCTTTGCAGTGACAGTTTGACAAACGCTAGGCAATGAAATTAAATTTGTCAAAAACACTCCTGTAAAGCTAAATAATTAGTAGCTGAGTAAAAGTAAATTAAGCATGTTTATTTTCTGTAATTATTATTGATTAGGCTCAAAAGTATAGCCTTCTTACTTTATGTGCATCTTCAGACTTTAGCACCTAACACATATTAAGAAAACAAATATGTTTCAGCCCACCTCCTTACCTCCTAATTTCTTAATCAACCCTTTGTCTTGTTTTTCTCTTACCTACACTGTTATCAGGTTGGAAACCATGACAGGACTCGGATTTCTTCCAGTGCTGGTCGACTCTATGTTCGTGCCATCAACATGCTGCTGCTGACCCTTCCAGGCACAGCCACCACCTACTACGGCGAGGAGATCGGCATGGAGAACATTAACGTGACAGCAAGTCAGATACAAGACCCAGCCGGCAAATACAATACAGTCAGTACTGTGCACACACTGAAGAAACCTTTAAACCCTCACTGTCACACATCTCTGTGAGAGGTCCTTAAAAATAACCAGTTTAATGTCATTTTATTAATAACAATAAATAAACATAAATATAACAACATAAATGTCTTTACTTTAAAGGACATTTTTGCAGTCTTGTTGTATCTACTACACTGGCGACTGTATACATGAGCAAATATACCAAAATGATTCCTCTGCTTTCACTGCAGAGTGCCAGTCGAGACCCTCAGCGTTCTCCATTGCAGTGGAATGCTGACACGAACGCAGGTTTTAATGAGAAAACAAATCTCACCTGGTTGCCACTACACCCCGATTATGAAACGGTCAACGTGGAGGTATAGATCTGTTTTTCTAATGTTCAACTTTGAAGACAGATCGTTTTCTTATGTATATCTTTCTATGGTACATCTGTCCTCCTCCCATTCCTTTATTCCCAGGCCCAGATGAAAGATGATGGTTCTGTTCTGGCTCAGTACCGCTTCCTGAACACCCTGCGTCAATCAGAGCTCCCCCTTAACCGTGGATGGTTCTGCTACGTCCACGCTGATGCCAATGTCTTCTCTTACATCAGAGAGCTTGATGGACTTAAGCGAGCTTTCCTCATAGTGGTTAACTTTGGTAAAGAATCAGCTGTCACAGATCTCTCCTCTGTTCGTGAGCTGCCAGACGAGTTGAAGGTGCTGATAAGCACCACCATAGCCAATGATGGCAAAGTGTTTCCGAAATCTCGCATCCAGACAGAAGTAGGAGAGGGTTTGGTGATTCAGTACTCCACCAACACTCTGTTTAATCCCAACCATCCTGAAGAGTGCTACATCTCTGAGAAGGCTTGCTATTTGGAGACCATAGACATACTTTATAAATGCTAGTAAAAATGGAGATGAGTATCCAATAACTGCTGTATTACAGAAACCATCAAAGCATTAAGATTTTTCTCTGGTGTTTCCTCTACAAGGTAGTGATTTCTTATCTTTGAAAGTGTAATTGCTGTTATTATTATTAGATTTGGACACCAGTCTGTCTAGTTGTCGTGATGGAAGATGCTGTTTTTCATGCCCGACTGCTTCTTCATAACCTCGCTATCTTCTCCGCTTGCGTGGAGGCCGAGGAGGGTCCAGGCCAAGCTCCATGTACAGAAATGCAAGCTTGAGGGCTTCCTTTGTTATGGAATAAAAAACAACAAACAGTATGTATCTGTCATCACCCATCCAAGTGCTAAAACTCAAACTTTTACATTCATAAGGCAAATTATAGATTATATATTAAGAAGGCTTTCTCAGATTTGGCTGTTTATCACACACGTACATGACGTCATGGTGCATTTGTAATAAACAAAATCACATCTACAGGTAAAAGGACTCCTTGATTTAACTGACTTTGTACCTCAATTTTAAAGCTGTGAGACAGATAGTATATTGCAATCAAGCGCTTGCTCTGTGCTTACTAATATTTCATGTCTCAGTGTTGGTGTGCATTCTGATGGGAAATTAAGAACTCATAATTTTCAGAAAGTAAAAATGTCTCATACCAGAAAATATTTGTGTCCAATTTTCAGATAATTTGTCCTTAAAAAGACTGCAAAATAAAAACATCGATCTTTTCAAGAAGGTTTCAGCTTCAGGAAAATTAATTTACCTCCTCCAGCATTAGCTCAAAGTCTTCTGTTCCAAGGTGATTTGCTCCAGGTTGGATATTCAGAGCTATGTTTGGTGCTGGTTTACACTCTAAAATGAAACGTACACAAAGAGATTCAAGAGCCAAGTACGGGCAGAAGACAATACTTAAAATTAACATTTTCTTTAAAATGTTCTTTTCTCTGCTCCCCTTCTCTGCCCATTTCCCCCCCAAATCATCTTTTTCAGTCTTCTGTCTTTGCTTTCACTCATTTATCCTCCCATCTGATATCCCCCTGCCTCCCCTCCCTGTCTCTGTGGTATGGACTGTTTCACAAGTGCGGTCTTGACCTTGACAGCTCCCAGTCTGTGGCGTCTAATCTCTTGCTCTGATACACTATCTCTTTACCATGCTAATGGGCCTGCCCACCCGCCTGGATGTGTCTATGCCATCAGCACTTTATCAAAGACTCCGGAGAACAGAGAGAGACAGATTAGGGAGACATATACACACACACACCACACACACAGACACTTAAGCTGCCTGGTGTATGTGTGAACAACAGAAAAGTGAGCGAGGGTAACGGAGAGAGATAATGTGTGCATTTGAAACAGGAGCAGAGGAGGCAGTGCGAGAGAGAGGGGTGTAAATAAGGAGTACCACCAACGTGGTGAAGGGAGATTATAAGTGAGAGGGAGAAAGAGCCTGTCAGGGGGAAATTAGAGCAATTAGCTGACACACACATACGCACACTCACAGACACACACACACACACACACAAAACGCATGTATACACAGAGGCAAGCTTTACTACAAGGTGACCTATGAAACATTTTGGTCATCAACTTAAATGCTGTTAGCACTCCCCCTGACAGATAGCCATGCATCTGCTACTGCTACCTCTCCCAACATGCACACTGAAACTACTATTGGGGGATGACCCTATGCTATTAAAACCTCTGATCATGCAGAAATTACTCCTAAAAAGACGAGGACAATGTATGCTGAGATGCACACAAAGACAAATGCACACCTCCATAGAATGAGGTACTCAAACACACAATAATATGCATGGCTGCAGACTTGGAGAAATGACTTGATTACCTGACTTTGGCTTCATGCTGGAGTGTGTATGAACGGCTTTCTTTAGTTGTTCAGTGTATTTAAGGACGCCTGCCAGAGGAACCATGTTGTCACCACTGTAGGCTGTCAGCAGCATCGATGGGTAATGCTGTATCACACAAACACAGACACACACACACACGCATTTTAAATTACATACTGTAGTTTACATTATGTTTACCAAATGTATTAATTATCAATGGCCCTAAATGCATCCCTACAGTGTTTCATGGAATTAAACCAAACATGAAATAGATGTCAGTTACCTCGCATTAGGTACAGGACAATTTTTATTGCATTGGAAATTTGAAATCAAATACACCAACCTGGTCCACCTACAGGTAAGACTGAGTCCCAGAAAGGTTGGGACTCACCTGCAGTTTCTTACCTGCTCAAAGCATCCGTCAATGCATTTGATCAGCATTCAACTATGATTGAGGTGATTGAAACACGTATGTGCTAATGCAAACAAATGTATAAAGCAAAACATTACATGAAGTGGTAACACAAACAAAAAGACTATTTTCTGTGAAGCCAGTTAAGAAAAATATAGCTGCATTTTATTTTTATATTCTGTTTTCCTCTCCATACCTGAGGAGTGATGTTGTGAAGGGGACAGTAGGAGGTGATGATATGTCTGTGTTCTGGGTTTCCCACTGGGTCCCCCCATTCATCTCTATCCTCTAAAGTTAGAGGCAGGCTGTGATCCTCCATAGTCCCTAACACATCCAGAAACGGAGCCTGAAAACAGGAAAAGCTGTGGTTTTGGAAGTGTTTACCTCACATTTTTACTACAAGTAACTATAGAGAGACTTAGTCAAGAATATTCATCATTTTGGTCAATTTAACAACAATGTTGTATGGTTCAGGGTTTAAGCACAAAACCTCCAACGATTTAATTTCTTACCTGCAGGGTGACAGCCCGCATCAATAGTGGGTGTCTGTTGCACAGAGCTCCCACTGGCACAGCCCCAGCACTGCAGGATGTAAGAGCGGTGAGAGAAGGAGAGGAGACTCCTAAGGAGAAAAGGTGATGGAGACAGGCTTGGAGGTCCTCAACTCCTCTCCGCTTCCCTCCCACGCAGGCTTGTCTGTGCCAAGAAAGGCCACGCTCCCCTCCACCTCTACAGAGTGTAAAAGCAAAGAACAAGTTACTTCAACTCATGGGGAGCACAAAGTTTGAATTACATATTTCACTTGCCCCCTATGACAACAATGACTTGTCTGTCATTTCCCTGTCATTTTGGTCATATAAAGCATGTCTCTCATCATAACTTTTTGAGCCAACAGGGTTTGGTTAGCTTCCTAGAGGAGTGACATTATACCTGACAAGGCAGTAGGCCAGAGCCCAGCCCTGCTCCAGCATCACTTTTTTCTCTGGGTAGAACTCCATGTTAAGATCTCTGCCATAAGCACCATAGACATGGACCAGCAGCGGTGCCTGTCCCAAATGCTCCACAGGTACTGTATGAAACAATGTCACAGGCACAAAGGTACCGTCCTACAAAAACACACAGAGATGCACTTTCAGACTAAAGGAATTAATGGTAAATTATCTAGAAATAAGTCTATAAAATTTGTTACAATTATACGCCTCTGTGTTAGGTGATGATGTATGAAGAAGCACAAAATGCCCTTCTCTGTATGGTGATAAATGCTAAATGCTTAGAGCCCTGCTGACATTGTCTTATTATTTGCGCAAATTATATTTCAAGTTTCCTCACTTGGCTGCAGGCCTCCAAGCGCGTAGTGATATAATCAGCTTGGTTCTCTGGGGAGGATCCATCTCCAGTGCCTGATAAAAGGAGCCCATTCTCAGGGTGTAGACAGTATGGAACCGGCGGATGGACTGGAGAGGATATCAGGAATTCTAGCATATTTTGTTGGTCAGCCAAGCCTGGTTTCTTGGTTTTAATGGCACAAGCCCAGGATGGAAGCTTTAGCATGAGTGTAGAAATAAAAAGCTTTGAGAATATATTAATAACACTAAACCACAAACCCATAAAATTACAAAAAGTAAAGACTAAGAACAACCAAAAGGTGGTTAAAGTCTCAAACGCTAACAAGCACATAAGTATGCAAGAAATTGTGTAATAATTACCTGTACTATGTATGCATTCTTGGGGTGGATCAGAGGGACCACAATGAGAGCTAGTTCACTAACTGGCGTTCTTGCAACCAACACACAATGGTCTCCAACCACGTCCATGTCTTTAATTGTAGTGCCAGGTTCAGGCGCAAACAAAGAGACCCAGGAATCCATTGATGGCTCTGAGACAGGAGCCTGAACCACCTGGAAATTAAATGGAAAGATGAATCTCCTTCACTGAAAATCAATGTTTTAACTGGATATTAAATGTAGCACTCTGTAAAATACCACTGGTTAGTTAATAGAGCAAGTTGTGAATAGAGACCAATTGAAACAGAACATAAGGAAAATTATAGCATGTCAAAACACAGAAACCTTTTTAAACCATTTTAACTTCTGACATTTTGTTTTCCATGTGCATTTGAAGAGAAAGGGAACAGTAGGTAAAAGCAGGTATACTCCTGTAGTTACAGAGTACACTGCATTCATGCCTGAGTCTGAATTATACCTGGTAAGTTCTGCTAGTCATTATGTATTTATATATGTGTATTTTTGTCTGCATTACTCCTTATATTGTCACTATAGGACCAAACACTTATCCAGGTTTCCTTGGTAATGATGGGCAATCACTCATGTAAAATCTAAAAATACTAATATATATATACACACACACACACACACACACACACACACACACACGGGACAGACTATACCTGATATTCTTGTCCAAGCCCTGTATTTGCCAGTATAATAAGCCGACCTCTCCAGTGCTCCACGTGGTACAGGAGATTGAGCTGGCGTGGCTGAACCACAAATGGATCTAAATTTGATGTTGCTATATCACTTAGCAGCACCTCTGAACTTGTCCTGCTGTTACAGTTGATGGTCAGGATCTGTCGGTCTCTGGTCAGGGCAACCTCCACAAACACACTGGGGAGATGTCAGCAGGTCAATTAGAGATGGTGTGGGAGTAGACGCAGCTTACATGCTGCATCGCTCACACTTACTCAGGCTGCATTTCCTCAAATACAGAGGTTATCCTGC